TTCCAGGGCTGTTGCCCTTCGACGTTCGCGTGGTGATGTCCGCGTTCGCGTAAGAAGAAGGATCCAGAGCTTCGCGTTCGCGTGGATGCAACCGTGTTCGCGAAGGGTATTTTTGGCAGAGGCGAAATTTGGTCATCGCGAACGCGGGAGGACCCTCGCATTCGCATAGAGGAAATAAGCCTGGGCAGAAGGGTTTTTATTGAATATTTCATCCGCGAGTCTAACCATTTTTCCTCCATTGTTGAGCACCTTGAGAGCTTTTTGGGAGAAATTGAAGAGGGATTCGAAGAGAATGATTTGGAGGTAAGATTTTTGAACTCTATACTCGTTTTTATTGTGAAATCCACCTAGAAATCCATGGAATTAAGCCTAAAATTGATGAACTAGGGCTTGGAATTCTGAGATTTAAATTTGGGATTTGAGGAAGCATTTGAGCTCCGATTTTGGTAAATTGATATGTATAGACTCGTGGCGAGACGAGGAATCCGGTGATGTGGATTTTGTAATTTTTCGAGAAGTGGGCCCGGGGCTCGGGTTTTGCCAACTTCGTGATTTTCGATGTTTTTCGAGTCTTTTCGTTTGGGTTATGTTTCCTTAGCATATTGTGATGTATTCACTCTGATTTTGGTTAGATTTGACGCGCGTGGAGGCCGATTTAAGGGGCAAAGGCGTCGAGAGCTAGGGATTTCACCGGTTCGAGGTGAGTAATGATTGTAAATGATATCCTAAGGGTTTGAAACCCCTGATTTGCACCCATAGTGCTATATTGAGGTGGCTTGCACGCCGGATAGAGAGCGTGGGGTAGAGCACCATTGGGGATTATGACTTGGTCCGTCCCGGTTGTTGATTTTATCGCGTAATTGACTGAAATTTATTTGATATTTCATGATTTGGGCTGATTGCCGTATTTGGGCTTCGTGCCAATTATTTGAATCCTTCAGGGATTGATATCACCGTTTTTGCATTATTTTTGCATGTTATTTGATCTCGGTCCAAGGTTTTAAATACTGTTTCGCAAACTTAGCCATCTTTCTAAGATTTGAAAACTTAAACTATAATTTATCGACGTTTTGAGGTGAGAACTATTATTTTAACATTGCCCAAGTGTTATATGTGCATTTCTGGACGAGCATGGATCGGGTTGCACGCCGCAGCAGTGTTATATTGATTTTGAGGCTGAGAGCCTGGTTGATTACATTGATCTTGAGGCCGAGGGCCTGGATGGTTACTTTGATATTGAGGCCGAGAGCCTGGTTGATGCCACGAGATGGCTTGTTATTGCGCTTGGGCTGTAGGAGCCCCTCCGGAGTCTGTACACACCCCCAGTGAGCGTCGTCAACGTTAAATATATGGATGGCTCGGGCTGCACGCCGCAGTGGGTACCGGAGTGTACCGTCATATGCATTGCATTGCACTCATGCATTTGTTCTTATTTGTCTTATTTGTCATGACATTTCATCACTCTCATTTTATTGGCTTCCATGCTACTTCCTGCACTAATTGCCTGATATCCTGGTGCTATTTGTTGACGGAGTATTGTGCCCGAGGGGCTGACTTTTGTGCTGGCTTGCACTACTTGTTTCGCATTCATTTGCTTGACTGTTGGAAAAAGACATTTTTAAAAGAAGTTTTAAAACTGAGCCCAGATATTTCTAAAGATTCCACGTTTTCACTGTTTTTCTCAAAGGGTTACACTGTCCTATATAGCATGATGGATTGCTTTACGTGATTTCTTGCTGCTCAGTTATTATTTACTTTTATTACTCACTAAGTTGGAGTACTCACTTTACTCCCTGCACCTCGCGTGCAGATGCAGGTATTGTTTACCCGGTAGCGGGTTTGAGCTGGTTGAGGATTTTGCTATCGTGGCTGAGCAAGGTGACCGCCAGCGTTCGCGGCACCGGATTTTCTTCTTTTGATTTTTAATCCATGTATTACAGGCCTTGTAGTTGTATTAAAAATCCTTCTAGATGCTCGTGACTTGTGACACCCCGGTCGGGCTGTGTTGGGATGGTTCTCTATTTTTATCACTTTTCTTCCGCACTTATGGGAATTTTATTAATGGTTTAGACTTATTCATGCTAAGTAATTATTAAAGAGTTATTGGTGTTCTGTTGGCTGGCCTTGTCTTCACGAGAAGCACCATCACGACCGGGTTTGGAAATTGGGTCGTGACAGTTTGACCGTCAACCTTCGACCTTTTAGTGTTAGTTCGTACGTCAATTGATTATATATTTGAGAAAATTACATAAAGTGTAGTACCATGAATCCAAAATTAAAATTGGAAACATACTTAAAAAATGTTTGGAAAATATTGTATTAAAGGAGAAAACAGTTTTGACACACTGGATAATGATAGCATAAAATGAGATAGACAAATTACATGAAATAATATTCTTTCGATTCTAATTTGTTTGACAGTATTTCCTTATTAATTCATTTAAAACAAAATAAATTTCTATATTAAAAAGATATACTTGTAATTTAACTTTAAACTTCTGTTTCATACCTTTTATGAGAAACTTGTACTGTCATACAAATGTTATAACATGTTCAAAAGACTATAAGTTTCAAAAGTATTATTATAATTCTACAAATGTTATGACTTTTGAAGCACATATTTCAAATCTTCCTTTTTTTTCTTAGACATCGTCTCAGTCAAACCTCGAGGGTATATCGAAAACGGCCTTCTTACCTTCATAAAGTAGAGGCAAGATCTGCATACGCACTACCGTCCCATACCTCACTTGGATCGTCTTAGTCAAACCACGGAAAATAAGTTGAAATGGATGAATTAAAAGTAACATTATTTTTCAATTGAGTTTAAATTATTGCCCATGTCAAAAATGCGCCAGCGCACACATTAAATGAAGTTGGTACTCTTTCTTCTATATAACAAAAAGCAACAAGAAAACAAAAAGAGTCACAGAATCAAGTGATATAGTCACACATTAAAACTTTTTCAGAGTTGCCATATCTTTTTGACATCAAACTGTACGAAAAAAAAAAATGGAGTCACCAGTCACAGGATTAAGATGCAGAACAACAGGACCATCATTTCTAAAGCCAATAGATACAAAGAGGAAAGCCATTGAAGAGTACGAAATGGTGGCTGTGGAAACAGAACCATTGAGTCCAACTGCTCGTTTGTTTCACGATCCAACTTTTAATGTCCATGTCGTTGCTATTATGGCCACAAAAACTCGGATTTCACCTCAGCCTGTCAAGGAGAAGTTGGAGCTTACTTTGCTTAAGCATCCTCGTTTCACTAGCTTGCTGGTATGTTCCTTGCAACATTTAACTCTATTTCGCTTTTTCTTGAGCTGAGTGTCTGCCGGAAATATGCTCTCTGTCAATACCCCATTAGTGGTATTAAACTAGGTTTATTGGTGTTGTTGTTATTTCTACGTGCGTTTTGCATGTTCCATATGAGTAAGTTAGCGTTTTGATATAAATTTGATTGAAACTTGAAAAATGAGCTTTAGAAGTTGTGTTGAAAAATAATTTTTGGAAGTTGAAATTGTCATATTTAGACATAGTATTTATTTGGTAAAACTTGAAATTGTGTGAGTGGAAGAAAACATTTCACCCACAAATTAAACTGCAACCATTTTTTGGGAACTTGAGATTGTTTTATCAAGTTTTTTTCAAAACTAATCATATTCCACGAAACAAACACTATTTTTAAATTTTTTGTTTTTGAGAAAAAAAAATAGCCAAAATTTATGATCAAACGGTAGCTAAATGTCTCCAAAACTCATTTTGTATGGCATACCCTTCTAGTTTCTACTCATTTTTCGCGTGTTGCGAAATATATTATTGGATTTCATTTTCTTCCTTGATTTTGAAGCACTTCATTTTATGAGATGCTTGGCACCTATAGTCATCTCGGTAGATTAAAAAGAGGTTAATTAATAAATGAGTTGGATCATAGTCGATCAAAAATTTTCTCCAGTCAAAATGGGGAGTCAACTTAAAATAAACATTGCGTCATAAACCAACTAGATCAACTCAAAATTATTTTCATTTCTTTATTTGTTATTTTGTATTAATTTATTTAATTACAAAATTAAATTGTACAAAACTTTTTTTTTAAACGAAAATAAAAAAGTTACAAAAGTTTGGCACAAAGTGGCTAAACTTTTTCTTTCTATAACCAACAAGACCCAAAAAAAAATATCATTTTAATAAATTTAGTAGGTAAACTAGATTTATGATTGCCCAAATTGGCCGAACTTTGAAATGGATTTACTTTTGTTATGTGGTAAACACTCCTAAATATAGAACCATATGTTAGTCCTTTGAGAAAACAACCTACAAAAGGATGGATTACCCAATTATTGTGGTACCAACTACTCCCTCGTCTCATAATATGTGTCGTAATTCTCTTGTGCACGCCACTAAAGAATAGTTTTTGCCCTTATTAAATATTTTCTCAATTTATGTGTCATCTCTATCAATGACATTATCCATATTTTTATTAAATGTGAATGCAATTGATTATTAAGGGTAAAAAAGGAAAAATATAATCAACTTTGTTTTGAACTTCTAAAATGACAAATAATTTGATACAACTACTTTTAATTACCACGACACATATTAGGAGACGGAGGGAGTACCAAGCACAAGCACAAGCACTTTAATTTTAGCAATATATACTGGAAATAAAAACAAATTAGGAAGTACAATACGTAAGGATTGGGAAATGAGGAAGCATACATGTTGTGCACCCTTAAAGATGCTGAATACTAGGAATTTCATAGGGCATCATTTATCTTCTGTTGATCGAGGTATCACTCTTTTATACGTTTTTAGTTTAAATTTTATACATTAAGGGTGTAAGACTTTATTAATTACACAATCAGGTCATATAAAAAAATTTTGCAGATAACTTTACTACTTAATAATATTGATAATAATTTAAAATAAATAATAAATGACAAAATTAATAAATTTTGAACTTATAATTTTAAAAATGTGATGAAGTTTCTGAATCTGCCTCGGAGAACAATCCTATTAGACATCAGTGCCTATCATGCCCGCCATTTAAGAGGCTTTTTTTTTTTTTGTTTCTTTCGAAAGAGAAGCAAAGCTACAAAAGCCGAAAAATGTTTATAAGTTAGTTTGACCGGCTTATAAGCTTAGCCAAACACCCTCAAAGAAAAAGAAAACTAGTTTACACATGCTGCAAGCTAAGTAAACCTATACACTCAAAAATCTATACTAAGTAGTAACATATTTTATGCACAGGTTGTGGATGAAGATAATTCAGCAGACATGAAATGGGTGCAAACAAAAGTTGATTTGGAGCAACATGTTATAGTACTAGAAGTGGATGAAAGTCAATTGACCGAATCACCAGAAAAGTTCGTGGAGGATTATATTTACAACCTTAGCAAAACCAACCTCGACAAATCAAAGCCACTTTGGGACCTTCACATTATCAATGTCAAAACTCGCGATGCAGAGTCCGTGGCATTTCTCCGTGTTCACCATTCTCTTGGTGATGGCACCTCTCTTATTTCTCTTTTACTCGCGTGCACTCGCCAAACTGCTGATGATCTCAAGCTTCCTACAATCCCAACCAAAAAACGGAGGCCTACACCTTCAGGTATATATGCCTGTTTACCCTAGAATCCGGATAACAATTGAATTTATATGGGGTTTCAAGGATCCGTGAACTAAAAGATACAAAAGGTTTAGGTTGAGGAAAATAAAGATAAAGACTCAACAATTGCTGTTAAAGTAAATAATCGCAGAATATAATATTGCTTAGAACAATTGTGCTTGATAGCGTACAAGAATCTAGAGAGATGGTACTGTAGTGTAATGGTTTTTTCCGGGTACCCTCCTTATGGGGTCTTCTCCCCTTTTATACATTCCGATTAAGGGTAAAAATAAGGTTAGGTAAATTAATTACATCGTGGATCCCTGTAATTACGCCTTAATGGCCTGAAGTGGTTGAGAAAATCACGTTTGGGCGAGATATCCGGCGACGCTTGGTTATCCGTTACGAGTCCGGCTTCCGACCTTGTGTGTTTCTCCATCCGGTGGTGACTCATATCGAGCTCTGCAACGGTCTCGAAATGACTCGACCTCGGTTGTAGACGTGGCCGTCGTTCTACCTTGCATCCAGGTCGGGTTCGANTTCGGTCTACGTTCGTTCTACGTACCTACCGTAACGAACCGCACGAATCAGCACTCCCGGCCCGACCCGTTCCGGCTGTACGTGGGTCGGATTGATGATTGCAGCTGCGACGGGAGCCTCCTCGGACCTGACAGGCTCCTGGACCCGGCTCTGGAGCTGAGCTATAGCCGATTGCTGGGCTTGCAGCATGTCAAAAATCATTTTAAGGTTGATAGTCTCTTCGCCGACTGCCTGGGCCCTCGAATCGTCCTCTCCCCGGACGCTATGCGATGATCCGGAGGCCTGATCAGTGTTGAGCGCCATCCGGGAACCGGCATCTATCGGGTTTTCGAGCCCGGGCATTCCATTGTTTCCTGTCTGCTGTTCGAGTTCATTGTTGATTGATTGTGCCATTCTATGAGTTGGTAATTTGAATGTAAGATGGACTCTTTTGCAAAGAACCAGTGTATTGTGATGTGTCAAGAAAGAGTATCAGAGAGCTCACTAATATCCTTAGCCCCACGGTGGGCGCCAAACTGTTTACCCTAGAATCCGGATAACAATTGAATTTATATGGGGTTTCAAGGATCCGTGAACTAAAAGATACAAAAGGTTTAGGTTGAGGAAAATAAAGATAAAGACTCAACAATTGTTGTTAAAGTAAATAATCGCAGAATATAATATTGCTTAGAACAATTGTGCTTGATAGCGTACAAGAATCTAGAGAGATGGTACTGTAGTGTAATGGTTTTTTCCGGGTACCCTCCTTATGGGGTCTTCTCCCCTTTTATACATTCCGATTAAGGGTAAAAATAAGGTAGGTAAATTAATTACATCGTGGATCCCTGTAATTACGCCTTAATGGCCTGAAGTGGTTGAGAAAATCACGTTTGGGCGAGATATCCGGCGACGCTTGGTTATCCGTTACGAGTCCGGCTTCCGACCTTGTGTGTTTCTCCATCCGGTGGTGACTCATATCGAGCTCTGCAACGGTCTCGAAATGACTCGACCTCGGTTGTAGACGTGGCCGTCGTTCTACCTTGCATCCAGGTCGGATTCGATGGCCCCGACTTGCCCCGGACCGGACCCAACCCGGTCGGGCTCAAGCAAAAAAGGGTATCACCTAATACAATGCCTTCAGTACTTCTATTATGAATGTAAATAGAGTTTTTCGCAAAAATTTGCTAGTAGAGGAAGACCTCCTAGGGATAAGAGACATAGGGCTAAATTTAGTTAGAAGCGGCAAATAGACGGATTGCATCAAATTAAACTTAAAAGGGCCAAAGTGACTAAAACTGATAAATGGATCATGATTTAACTTATCCAAGGTTCGCTTGAGTCAAAGCAAGTTGGATCAAGATGTATTTGGGTTATATCTGAGAGTGTCAAATCAACAAATGAGTTATAACTTGATTCAATTTGAATAGGTTAAAAAAAATTGGATCAAGATGGATCGAATAACTTGGCATACTTCAACCTGCTCTACCTATCATTCCTTTTTATTTTGCTTATTTAAAATTTAAAAAAATTTTTTTTTTTAATGAAAATTACTATAACCCTAAGCTTTTCAGAATTTTAAAAATTCTCAATCTCCATATTTGATTTTGTATGTTTAGGTTTGGATTCCATTTTGACTTGTCGGGTTTACATTATTTATTCCATCTTGACCTATATTTTGGATTCAACTTGTTTCCTTTAAGAAGAATTAGCCCAAATAACTGCCCACCTAATCGCTTAAATTAAAAATAGCCGGTGAATGTATAATATATGCATAATTTATGTATTTTATGCATATAACAATATATAGTCAATGTATAATACATATAGCTAGAGAAAGTAAACAGTAGATATTCGCTATTTGTGTAAGGATCCCTTGATTTATGTAAACAAACGGATAATAACCAAACTCATTTAAACTTGGGCAAGTTATTAAGAAATGAATTGATTTTGCCACTTTTAATGTTTGACAGGTTATTCAGAAAAGGAAGGGTCGTTCAGATTATGGCAGTATTTGGGAAAATTTTGGCTTTTCATAAACATGATACTCAATACTATAGTGGATCTTTTGATGTTCTTAGCCACAGTCATCTTTTTTAAGGATACAAAAACTCCAATGGCAGCTCCACCTAACTCTGCGTCTAACGGTAGACGAATAGTTCACAGGATAATCAATTTGGATGATTTGAAGTTGGTGAAAAATGCTATGAATGTGGTAAGCAATTTGAACATTATAAATGAATAAAGTTTATATATATTGGTTGTTAAAGTTAACTGATATTGTTGCATGCATTTTCTCCACAGACTATAAATGATGTTGCCCTGGGAATAACACAAGCTGGTTTATCTAAATATCTCAATAGAAGATATGGTAAGTTATTTAGTCATGAACTCTTGCTGTTAACTAGTGTGTATTATCTTACGAGAATAAAGGATAATGTGGATCAACCAGAAGAGATATGCTTAAAAGTATTTGCCTCAAGGAGGAATCCTAGAATTCCGTCTGTTTTCTAGGTTTGGAAATCAAGTAGCGGTTTCAATATTTAAATTTTTGAGTTTAATTTTTATGTTCTCACGATGGAACCTAAACATTTTCGCTATTTTAATAATTGTTAAAATTTTAGTAACATTTACCAAATTGCTCTGCTCCATATAAAAAATGTTGAGTTCAATTGAACCTGTTTATTATATGTTACATATTTCTCTGATATCCACTATTTTTCCGACTATTTACAGCCGTTGGTAAGGAAGATAAGGGAGCCACTGAGAGAAACAACAATCTTCCCAAGGACATTCGACTACGATCATGTCTTATTATAAACCTAAGACCCTCTGCAGGAATTGAAGTAAACTTTATTCTGCTATTATTGTTGTTGTTGCTGATATTATTATTATTGAGTCGTATAATGACATGACATGAATGAAACAGGATTTAGCAGATATGATGGAGAAGGGCACAAAACAAAAGGGAGGTTGGGGAAATTGGTTTGGTTATGTGCTCTTACCTTTCAAGATTGCATTGCGTGATGATCCTTTAGATTATGTTAAAGAAGCAAAGGCAACAGTAGATCGCAAGAAACGCTCATTTGAAGCTTTAATCACAATGATGTTAGCTGAAGTACTAGTCAAAATATTTGGTGCCAAGGTATATGCATATTCAAATTCAATAATATTTAGTGAACTTTTATATATACAGTGAATTCTTTTCGTATTACTTAAAAAATAACTATATATAACTTTGCACAATAAGTGTAACTAGTTTCTCGACCTACCACAGCCGCTCAAAATTACACTCATAGTATAAAAAACCTTTGCACTGTCATCAGTGTATACAGTGAATTCTTTTCGAGTTACTTAAAAAATAACTATATATAATTTTGCATAATAAGTGTAACAAGTTTCTCGAAAATAAGGTAGACAACCTACCACAGCCGTTTAAATTAGACTCATAGTATAAAAAACCTTTGCACTGTCGTCAGTGTATGGTTGAGGTTGTATACGCTGAAAGTATAAAGAATTTTATGCTGTTAGTGTAATTTAACCGGCTATATATACAGGTTATTACCGTAGCTTTTTAGTTACCATATCATTAATCTATGAAAAGTTATTAATTGTTATAAATAAATTTAACCTAATGCTGTAATTTTTTTTGATAGGTAGCAACAGCAGTGACTGTGAGAGCATTCTCAAATACAACAGTATGCTTCACCAACTTGGTTGGACCACAGGAAGAAATTGGGTTCTGTGGCAACCCTATTACTTATCTTGCTCCAGGTGCTTATGGGCAGCCAAGTGTAAGTACTGATCTACTCTACTCTTGAGGCATTTGCACTTTATAACTACTAATTTGGAGATTAATTAATACGTAGTTAAATATTGTAATGTCGCCAAAATACTATTATGAAGCAAGATAGCTAATTGTAGATAAAATTTATTTAAGCTCGTGTTTACATCAAACTAATGAAAGCAAGATATGTCTCTCGTGCAGTCATTTAATAGTATCATTTAAATATAGTTAGGTGATATATATTCTTAGTTTAATTTATACTAACTATCAAGATTAAATTGTATATGTTGGTGTAAGTACTAGGCGAAGATAAGCTTTAACCTAATTATATTGCATGATCCAAGTCCTACACAATGGAAAATCACCTCTAGAAGCCTCTTTAATTATTTGATGCTTGAAACTGAAAGGGGGGGGGGGGGGGGTGTTGATAACTGGAAATGTTTGCAACATAAAAATTTTTATCTTGAAATGAGAGGACTGTTTTTTCTTGGTACTGCTAGTTGAAGAGTCTCTTTAATTTATGTGCATTAATAGTATATTGATTTCTTACTTTAGCAGGTTAAAATGAGCGTTACAATAGTTAACTGTGTGTTATAAGCCTATTTTGATAATTTACTTATTATAATTGGCTAAAATACATCAATGACACATATTTTTACATTATCAGTATATACGAGTGACATCAATAACACATTTTTCCATTAATTGTAACTCTAGGCACTGATGATCAATATCCAAAGTTATATTAATAAGATGATCATCGTCGTATCTGTTGATGAAAGTGCTATTCCTGATCCACAACAGCTGCTTGATGATTTCGAAACTTCTTTTAATCTCATAAAGGATGCCGTTGTTGAAAAAGGGCTTGTCAAGAATCTGAAATAATGATGAGGAAATCCAACCAAAGAAGGTTGTATAAACATTTATATTACATGTTGAAGAACTTTGCAGTAATTCACCAGTTGTTGCGTATTGCGACTAATTCTCTTCACAATTCCTTTCAATAGATATCGAAGAACATAGTACTATATATTATTGTTCTTTTGGGAAACTCCCTTTAAGTTAATCTATTCATATCAATGTATTGCATATTAATTTGTTAGTGTAAATCTCTATTGTTTTTATTTGATATATTAACGAGGAGTGTGAACATACTACTAAAAAATTAGGTTTTAGCGACGGACAAATTCTGTAGCTAAACAGAAAAATCCATCGCTAATCTCATTTAGCGACGGATTATCAATAAATTCTGCTAGCTATGAGCGTTTCAGCGACAGATTAAGGACGACGTTCGTAGCTAATTCCAGTTTTTTTTTGTAGTACCGCGTCAGATATCTATCGTCAGTCAAATTGGTCAAAAGTGGACAATCCATTAAATGCGGGTAAATCGACATTGAACCACGGTTTTCTTACTCGGTTTAATTTGTGAGCCTCCTTAAATACCTCCCCTTGCAAACATACAATTATTGAAGAAAAAACGTAGCAAATAAAGAAGACTTCCCTCAAACAACAAACAGGATCTCAAGTTTCTGAATAAGTTAATAAAAAGGTTTTTTGAGAATGGAATGGTCCCCAAAATATGCTACCAATGCGTATCTTGACACCCTTAAGCTGGTTTGTTCCCCTCTTGAATTTCTCTTTTTCATCTCTATAGCATCAAATTCAATTTGATTAGTTCAACTTATATAAGATCTTGGAACAATTAGAATATCATGAAAACGAGATGATTCTGTTCCAAAAATGAGATTAATAAAGTCCCACGACACGTTTTTCCACAAGGAGCTCCGGGAACTATAAATAATTGTTTGAACATCGAGTTACATTTACGTACCATCGGTTCCTACATGTATGATATGTGATTGATTTAATATCTTGATAAACTAAATCTCCTTCCCTGCTTCATGTTGAAGAGACAATTAAATAAATAAAGTGTGCATGAGATGGTGACATACTTCAACATATTTCATGAATACCAAAAAACATGAAATTGACTGTTTAATTTCCCATTTATTCCATGCAGTGTAGCAAAAACAATCAGAATTGTGATTCTTGCGGAACACAAGAACCCGAGAGTAACGAGTTCATATCAGCACTAGCAGCTGGTATGAGTGCCAAATTAATGGTAGAAGTCACCTCTGAAGTCTCTCCATCAACTGTGGCTTTAGCAGCAGCTGCTCGTCAAACAGGAGGTAAATGTTGAAGTGCATGACCATCTCATCTAAAAGTTTAAGCCGTTAGACAAACTATACTTTTATTTACTTAATTTTATTTTTGGCAGGTAAAGTTGTATGCATTATTCCGGAGCAAAAACTGGACAAGACACAAAAAGTGATTGAAGAAACAGGGCTAAATGACATGGTAGACTTCAAGACTGGGGACCCTGTTGATGTCTTGCCTCACTACGAGAACATCGATTTCTCTCTCGTTGATTGCAAGACTAAAAACTACGATATGTTGATCGAAAAACTTGATGTTAATCCCGAAAGATCAGTTGTAGTCACAAATAATGTAGAAGGGAGAAATGGGGTTAGAGGAAAATTGAAAAAAGTGGAGAATGAGGTTAACATATATTCAACAAAGCATCATATAGGTAAAGGTTTAGAGGTTACTATGATAGAAAGAAGCAGATTAGGAAGTCATAGTCATGGTCATCAAAGAGGAGAAAAAAAGAGGGGTAAAGTGAAATTGAGTGAAAAAAGCAAATGGGTGTTTGAAATTGATGAAAAAAGTGGTGAAGAACATATATATAGGACGAAAAATTGATTGGGGTATAAGTTTTTAAGCGAAGAAAAGAGGTGTGACAATACTCTTAAGATAAAGTTACCGATCAATTGCGGTCAAGTGTGTGTAGATAAATAGAGAGCTACTTTTCTTTTCTTGTTGTAATTGTTTTAGATTTGATTAACCTCCCTCCCTATCCTTTTCTTTCCTCTTCAATTGCATGTTGGCTCAGAAAGTGGGAAGAGAAGGGAAATTAAGGGAAGGGGCTTATCTTGGTTGAATGTAGAAGCTAAGGGGAGATGATTTGAAAATGAAAACTATGCTTTATTTCTTTCTTCCTTAGTGATAAAGTAACTTAAATTTCCATGCGCGGGCACGCACACACATTGTAATTTGCAAGTCTTCTAAACTTTCTTAAAGAATCTATATACATAAAATAAAGATAAAATTGATTAGTGCTTGATTGCACATTTGAAAATGGATTGACTATAGCTATATTATACGGCGGCAGGCCAGGATTTTAATCTTATAGTATGAATTTTAGAATGACGACTTTAAGTGTTGATGAATAGGGTTTAAATTTAATTATTATACATATTTAATAAATTCTAAGCATGAAAAACACTGTTTAAGCAAAAGCTATTGGATTCAGCCGAACCCGTACCTCGGCTTGTGCCTCCGCCCCTGGCTATATATACTACTCCTTCCATTCCAATTTATGTGAACCTGTTTGACTGGGCACGGAGTTTAAGAAAAAATGAAGACTTTTGGAATTTATGGTCCTAAACAAGTTAAAAAGGGGCCCAGATTATTTGTATGGTTATAAAAGCTTTTCATTAAGGGTAGAATTGTAAGTTTAAGCTAAATTGCTTCCAAATTTAGAAAGGGGTCATTCTTTTTGGAACGGACCAAAAAGGAAATAGGTTCACATAAACTCGAGCGGAGGGAATATCAAAAATCGAAGACAATGAACTAAGGCCAAATTTCGGTGGAGTAATGGATTCCTCTTTATGTTCAGATGTTTAAATTTTTAGTATAATTTTATTCCTTTTTATGCATAGGAGGAGAACAAAGAACAATGTACTATGAAGTAAAAGGGGAAGAAATTCTGTCACAAGGATGGAATAATATCTACAAAGATCACAAAACTGATTTATGAGACAAAAAATTGATTACCTTATACTCAGGGACGGAGATAGAAACTTGATCACGTCCAACTCTAGTCCTAAAAAGGATAAACGGTCGTTGCAAATATAATCCGGTCTAAGAGTTCGGAATCGAATCTCACAGAGAACTAACGTTTAACTACAAATGTTGACTATCACTAAGAAGACAAGCTCGAACAATTCCTAAGTTATAAATATTAAGATTCTTACATCTAATTAACTAACAAATTAAAGTAGTAGATTAGCAACTAAAGATACTTCGAGTTGGAGAATAGATTAAGGAGGTATAGAGTTATGATTTTTCCAATTATCAGAATCCTTCCCGCTACGTCTTCTATAATTTCGCCTAAGTACTCTCTACCGATTGTGAGTACTTTGGGTGTTGTAGCTCTCTCTCTCTCTCTCTCTCTCTCTCTCTCTCTCTCAACTACCACACTTTACTAGACATATTCTCTCGAACTACACTAGCTGGCACTAATTCATCGCTCACTACGATCGCACCAAGGTTTCGTTATCTCTAATCCCACCTTTAAACCCTTCATATTGATCTCTCAAATACGTTAGGAGTGATGTTGCTCAACAACTACCTAAATAGGTACTCTCTCTCAAAGAATACACACTAAATATGCACGATCAATTGATGGTCATTCAATCAACAACAATACATACGTAGTTGAACAAGTAGAGAAATCAAGCGGCTCAATTATATAAAAACGTAAGAATTCATCCTACAAAAGGTTCCATCAAAACTCTAGATAATAAATTAGCTATTCATAATAGTATGTAAACTACAATACCAGAATTCATAACCAATAATAGAAATAGGAAGAAGAAAGTGAAAAACTCGTAGAAGAATTTTTCGCCTTGCTCCTAGCGAGTTCTTGCCTCCTTAGGTTTAATCCCCTCCCAAAAACGTCCTCCTTCCTTAGACATGTTTAGGGAGTATTTATAGGCTAGGGTTCGAGATCCTTGAGTCCAAATCTGGGTCAGAGTCTTTTAATTCATGCACTTTTGATCATCCGGCTGTAGACCACGCGAGGCTAGGCTTATAGCGCGGTCAGCTTGGCTACAGAGCTGGCTACGCCTAGCCTATAGCGCGGTCAAGATGTCTATAGAGCTGGCTATGCTTGGCCTATAGCACGGTCAAGTTGGCTATGCTTGGCCTGTAGCTAGGCTTGGGTACATCGTGCTTTTGTGCTATTTTCTTGTATTTTTGTCCACGTTTTATGCAACTTTCACTCGTCTTTGTCTTCCGATACTCCAATACATAAAACATCATAATTTAACTCAAACGCCGTACAATTGACCACTAAATTAACAAAATATAGGGAAAGTAATGTATTTAAAGTATAGTATTTTGGCCAAACATCACCATCACACACTTAAACGTTGCTCGTCCTCGAGTCAGCTACCAATTCACACTAACCTAGAGAACCTTATTTTCTTTTAGTACATCCGAAGCACACCATACCTATGACTATGGTTGATAGCACAATTAAACTTTAGCATATGCCTTTAACACACACTTCCCTTTACTTTATGCCATACTTCAAAAATTTATTCAACAACAAGACAACATGCCTATAACAATCCTAGCCTCACAAGCTGACTCAATATCACAATGCATTCATGGCTTGAACGCTTAACATCATAGAAAAATCTAATAACGTCACCTATCCCTCGCGAAACTATGTGTCCTCACAACAAGACAAAAGAGTAAGTCAAATCCACACACTTGAATCAAATGCTCAAATATATTTTAAGGACTCAGATAAATCAAAGAAATTCTTCACTCTCACAAAAAAGTCACATGCATGCACAAAGTACCATAGGCTTGCCCATTATGTAAACCCCCACTAATGTAGACTTGCTCGATCTAAAATCAAGTAGGACTTTTCCATGGTTGTAACGTGGGCTACAGGACAGGTAGGATATATTTTTGGAATAGTGGCTAACCCTCCTAAACACTTTAACACATCACATACTTCTTTAAGTGTAAATTCTCCAATCCCAACTTCAATTTCACAAATAATATCATCCCAAGAGCTTTCCCCTCTTTTTTTCAGCACTACTTTAATTCATACCTACTAGCAAGGATAATATATCAATTTATTCATCTACATTTTTTTCTCTTTATTTTTCTCAACTATGTATCGTTTTTTCTTTTGTAATTTTTCTCTTCTTTACCATTTTTTGCTAGTAGTGTATTCTTTTACAAAACACGTGTACCTTTACTCTTTCATTGGTTCCACTCAAAAGCCACCCAAGTTCCCTCCTTACTTCTTCTAGCGCTCATTTTACAATTAAAGTGCTATAAGAGGCACATGGATCAAAATAATGACAATTAAGAACAAAGGGGTATAGGCTTGTAATGAGTTCCAAATAAAAGTTTATAGGCTCAAAAGGGTTGACTAGGGATATATTTTATTTGTGGTAGGCATTCAGTTCAAAAAGATTAAAGAATGCCTAAAATCATCTTTCAAGCCAAGCAAAGCCTAGGATTTCTCTTCAACTCACATGCGGGGAAAGTTCTAGACTCTAATGCAATGAAACGAACTATATAATTTCTCACCACACATGGCACATGATTAACTAAGGACGGTTCTATTCCGATTCCCAAACAATTCAAGTATTCACGGAGCCACAAAATATTAAGCATCAAGCACAAAGTGACACAAGCCAAGAAAAAAAAATATAGGCGTCAATAAACATGTTATCTACTCAAGAAGCCATCATAAACATTTTCAAACCACAGGAAAGGTACTACACATGCTAGAGCCTAAATATGCTACTATCAAACTAGTCAAAGACACCTAGCAAATCTCATTTTCCCATCCTTTTATTCCCTAAATCCTACTCTACTCTAAAGATTAAAAAAAGTACTATCCGATTCAACTACATCCCGTGGAAAAGAACCGAGGCACAAAGAAAAACCATAAGGGGTTATTACTACCTAAAATAATAAAAAGACATATTTTTGGATTTTTCTGTTTTTTAATTTCTTTTTGTGTGTTTTTGTTAGACTTTAGTCCCTCAAGAAAACTGCTTAGGAGATCCATCGTCGGGAAAAGCCAAGTCGGACCCCTCCTCCGTAGTGCCCGGCCTCCCTCCAATCCTAAGCTGCAAGTCCATCATCCCATATAAATGGGCCATAAAGCTGTCATCTCGAGCGTTGTGCTCGGCATATGTCAGTGAGGACATAACACTCTCCTTCTTCGCCCGGATGCTGGTGATATCCGTTAGTCGAAGGGGTGGTGGAATGAATACATCAAAATCTCGCTCCTCTGCCACATCTTTTTTTCTCAGGTACTGGGTCAACATGTTACCGGAGGACCATCTATCAATTCCCTTGCTTGTTCTCACATGCGGCATCTGGTGGTGTATCATCTGGCCCATATTCACTTTCTGGATAGTCATTAGGAAGTACAACAGGTAGAACCCTCTCACGGCTAATCAGAATCTCATGGTTGCATGGTAGTAGTCGCGTGTTGATTAATTTCAACCACACCTGAGCTTTCAGCTTCATTTTTCTCTTCGAAAATTTCCTATGACGTTGGGTCTTCTTGTCACTAAACCAAGCAGCCATATAGTTGACACCACAGAGAGTGTGTCTCAGTGCTGGATATGTTGGACGGGCAATGAAGTTATCCAAGGGCTCTTGGGGAACATCCGGAGCTCCCAAGTAATTGCATATAGCTGATGCAGAAAAATTAATCAACCTCCCCCGAATAGGCACTAGTTGCTTAGGATCATTCGAATCATAACCGGCGTAAAACTCACAGACAAGGTTTACATTGATATCCCCAGTGTTTCCAAACACGTAGCTCAATCCAAGATCATGAATACCCTTCCAAATTGATTGATACTTAGCTTTTAGACGGCGCTCATGAACAGCCGACTTAGAGTTTTTATGTCTCGGCTGACAAAGCTTGTACTAGTCCTTGGCACATGGGGGTATACTTTTAAGTCCAAATTCTTGCTGTCCCTCAGGCTGTGGGTGTGAGGCTGCTATAGCTACAACTGCTTGCAACCCCTCAACCTGACTTGAAG